CTTCAGGTCCAGGACAGAAAAGAATGAATTTGCAGGGAGTGTTTGGGAGAGGGTGGGGCTCAGGAACAACTGGATATTGAGGAATGCAGAGGTTTCACTGCATCAGAGATCCTGTACTAAGCACTAGGAGCCATCTGGTTTTTTGATAGGAAATTTAGATGTTTTAAGAAGGGAGTGGAGAGGAGTGAGAATGTAAGCTCAGAGGAAGCTGTTGGTAAGTTTCAGTTCTCTGTGGCCTTCTGGACTCCAAGGGCATTAGGGAACAGCAAGAGCTTCTGTGGGATCGCTTAGGGAGATAGAGCAGGTGTACGGCAGGTGGCAAGCAAGGATGTGGTATATCCCACATTGTAGGATTAACTAGGGCAAGAGAGGAGGACTGTGATGGAGAAGTATGGAGATGACAGTCCTTATTAAGTATAAATGTTGAGTTTCATTCCTGCTGGAATGGAGGCAGATGCCTGCAAGTGCTGCAAGGTCTCTGCCCCAGAGAGGTTGGGTAATTAGAAGTAACCCAGCAGACTCACGTCTCCAGAGGGCAACATAAAGGCTTCCTGGGCACCTCAACATGTCTTTCCATCCCAACAAGACACAAGAAGGGAGGGGACTGCCACATGCACTGACAGCAGATCACCTGCTTGCCAGACACCCCCCATTGCCCTCAGCCCTGGGGGCTTGGGTGTGACGGGGGCTGTGGAACCCAGGACTCATGATTCTGTCATGAGATGTCCTGGGCCAGATGGGGTTGCTCAGAGGGGGTCCTCTCTAGGGACAGTCCATCATCCAGTGACCCCACTGTCTGCACTGGGAACCCTACAGGTGGGGAGGCCAGGGTTAGAGCAGCTCCTGGCCCAGTGCCCAGCACTGCCACACTGATTAGAGGTTCCCTGGAGGTTGGCAACTGGCTCACATCTTGGTGGATTGCTGAAGTAAACATTTGATACTTCTTTGTTTTACTGAGTCCCCAGTTCCTTGTATGTATTTTAAAATTAAAATTTATAATTTTTTTTTAATTGGGAACTCAGAATATACAGAGGAGAGACAGAAAGGAATATTTTCCATCTGCTGCCCAAGTGGCCACAATGGCTGGAGCTTAGCCTATCTGAAACCAGGAGCCAGCTGCTTTTTCCAGATCTCCCGCCCACACAGATGCAGCGTCCCAAGGCTTTGGGCCATCCCTCGACTGCTTTCCCAGGTCACAAGCAGGGAGCTGGATAGGAAGTGGGGCTGCCAGAATTAGAACGGGTGCCCATATGGGATGCAGGCACATGCAAGGTAAGGACTAGCCACTAGGCTACTGCACTAGGCCCACCTCATATGTATTAACAGAGAGGAAAGATGGCCATCTTAGAGGGTTTTAAGGGGTAGAGGTGGAGTCTGTGGACCATTATTCAGTGTTTGGAGTTTGCATTCCATGTCTGGTGCTGACTGGGACATAAGGGGGGTGTGTAAAAACAGCTGTCTTACAGGGTAATTATGATCTGTGTTGGTCTATTTTATGACTGTCTCTGTAAGGTTGTCCCCCGCTCCAAACAAAACAAAAAAACAAACACCTGACCAATTTTCCTCAGACTTGACTTCCCAGAATGACTTCTGGGGATTTGACTGTAATCAGCCTGTTCCTGGCCCTGTGGGTCCACAGGTGCCAACAGGCAGAGCATGAGGCCCCAGGCCTGCAGGTCAGTAGGTCTGGTCTGGGACTGGCTCCAGGGGCAGTCGGAGCAGCGTCCGGTTCCTGGGGCCTGGCAGTGCCTCTCCTGTGCATGCTGCTGGGCTGCTTGCCAGAGACGCTGACATTTACCTTGGAGCCCGGGCAGAAGAGGAGACAACACAGCGATGTGCCATCCCTTCTACTTGGAGCGATTCTCTGATCCTAAATGCTCCCCACTTTGCTGTCTTAGTGCAGGGTATGTGAACCCCACCAAAACTTTCTAACCCAGCCAGCTCCCACAGTGGGGTGATGGGTTTGGGCTGTTTACTTCAGATGTGTGTAGGATGAGGGGAATGGGGCAGACAGGAGAGCAGGTGGAAGAGAGTGTGAGAGCTGAAGTGGGTAGGACAGGGTAGTTGTTAACTGGGTTGGGACTGCAAAGAAGTTTCTCATGGCTCCTGCTGCCAAAGAGGGTGGCAGGTCAGTGGCACAGAGGCTGTGGAGTGGGCAGAGGGTCCCATTACTGACATGCTGCTGGCTAACACTAACCAGCCTTCCTCTCTGGGGCCTGGTGGTGGGAAAGTGGTGGGAAAGGAATGCACAGGGTGGGGTGTGGGAACACTGGAAGATTGGCTAACAGGGAGGCATAATGGCTGAGAAACGGAACCTTGCTCCATCATTGCTAAGCCTCCGAAACGTTGGACTTCCACCTGAGAATTCTTCTGGATTTAGTCAAGCATGCTAGCCAGTAAACTGAAGATCACTGATGACTTTTCTTTACAGTGGAAATTACCCGACTTGGCCATATAAGAAAGGAGCCACTTGCAGTGCCTGCCCTGCCCACGACAACTGCCTGGACAATCTTTGTGGTGAGTAACAACAATTTACCAATAAATGCAACCCACTGTTCTAGCCTAATAGCTATTTCAAGGAAGGTGGAGTAAGGACCACGCATGGCTACAGGTCTAGGAACAAACACATTTGAGATGGATGTGTTGAGTCTTCCCTGTAGGTCCTGCAGCACTCTTGTATTCACATCTGTATAAAAGGGCCAGGATGGGGAGCTTTAGAACAAATGGGGACTCACTGAATCATTCATGCACGCTAATCCTGTATGAACTGTAGCTCTCCACAGTGTATCAATGCTAACTTAATTGTTCCCTTTGTATTTCTACAATGTTATAAAAAAAAGCATTTTTTTTTTCTTTCAAGGAAGGTAGTGCAAAATAGAGGCTAAAACTGCAGATTTTAGAGCTGCTAAACCAGTTTCCAATTGGAGCACTGACTTGCACAGGTTTCTCAACCTATTTCCTCAACAGTAGCCTGTGCAAGGCAGCATTTTTACCAAACTGGTAAAATAATTCAATGTAAAGTCATTCTTGCCCTTGAAAATCCAATCAGTAATATTACCACTATTATAAGAACACATGGAGGCTACTGAAATTTTGAACTTTAGACAAGTTTAAGATAATCTCTACTTTTGTAGTTTAAAATTCATCAGATTAATCAGCCTCCCCTAATGAAAATCCCCACTCAGACAAGGGAGAACACGTGCTCGCATGCCTGGTGTTCACCAGATGCGGCACACATCCTCACTGACGTCAGAGCAGGGCCCAGCGCTCCCGCGACGCCCAGCGCTGCGCCCAAGGCCCAGCCCATCTGGCTTCTGTTTTACAGAGATGTCAGGTTACTGTGCATGAACACTGCATAAATGACCAGACTTGTAATTGAAGGAATAATAATCTTTTTCATCATGTGATCACTAGAGTTGTAAAGGTCAGAATGTAAGTGTAACCTAACAGAATGCATTTCTGACCAATTACGGCAAGAACCAGAGGAGAAACTACCTTCACAGCATTCTAGTTCGCAGTTGAATACTTTGGAGCTGAATCCACGTTTTTCATAATGTGCTGGGCAAACCAGCAGTGTGACTTTTGCTGGTATTATGTTTTTATAGTTAAAAATTTAGTATTTTAAAAACTAGGCTTACACACCTGATTTCATGAATTCTCCAGAAGGTAGGGCAGCAGCTCACAGCATCTGACCGCCCAGAGTCCAGCGCACGGTCAGGGAGGTCCCAACGGCCGAGGGGCAGTTCCTTACAGGGGTCCCCATGGGCATCCAAGAGGAAGTGGTGTGAAGTAAATTTTTCACTAATAAAAGACCATTCAAGTAGGCTACAGGCAATTGAGGAATTTATTTCCAGTGCTCTGTCAAATTCTAAATAAAGATCAGGGATAGAAGAAAATTAAGCCAATAGGGCGTGTGGCCGTCAGTCGTACAGACCCGGTGGATAAAGGAGAGGAAATGGTCCCTTTGCTATCGACTTCACAAGCAATACTCAGGAGCTGGTTTTTAGGTAAATACTGCACGTATGGTTCACCTGGTTTCTAATGTTTTAAATTTTAATGTTTTAATTTTAACTTAAATATTATCTGCTACTTATGATTTTCCATTTATAGTAATGATAATTTCACTTAAACTAAGTTGTTAGCATAAAATATCTTGAATAAATGTTGAAAATCTTTGCATTGTTATTCTAATTTTGACTTACCTTTATAAAACAAGAGCCTCACATGTACCTACCCTTTTTAACATTTTTTTCTTTTCCTCTGACTTCCCAGTTAACACCAAGAGAGACAATGTCAAACGTATGTATATATAAATCTTAAAACTGTTTCAGAGCTATGTGAATTATGCTATTGCATTGAGAGCCAGTATCTGAAAGAATGTTCTGTTTGGTTCACAGGTTACTACTCAGTTGACTATCCCGGCTGGCCCATATATCTGCGTAACAGATACACGTCTCTTTTCCTCATTGTTAACTCAGTACTTCTAATACTTTCTGTCCTAATTACCCTTTGGGTAAAGCAGAAATACCCTAATTTAATTCTCTTGGATTAATACAATCAGATGTTATTTTTTTAAGAAAAAAAAAAAAAAAGCCATGTACAAATAAGTGGTTTGTGGTTTTTTTCTATTTTAAAACATCTCGGGAGCGGGGGTAGTAAGCCGCTAAAGAATTCCAAATTCAGGAGGAGAAACTGGTTATTACCAGATGAACTCATCTTCACTTTCCACTTTTCTGTGACCAAACAATGTTGAGAAGTTGCCGAAGCTGGGCATTCGAGTGAGTCCTCGTCTGTGCGCTGAGGAACCTGCGGTCGGTGAGTGACCCGAGCCCCTGCGAGAAGCACTCTGCAGGTCTCCTTTGCTGTTGCAACTTGATGGCTTTCCAGTTTATCACTTTGCCAGGCTTGAGAGCAGAATGTTACCTGGGAGACTTGACTTCAGAAAAACTTAGTTTTGTGTTTTTTGTCTTAGATGATACATAAAACGAAACCATAAGAAGTGATAAGCCTAAATATTTACTTTGGTAATTAAAGACTTTGACATATTCCACAATCTTTCTGTATTAAAAAATCTTAATCATCCTTGTAACAAACCTGCATGGAACGTAGTACATACAACATACATTTATTATTTCCTAGTACAAAACTTTTCAAGACATGGAGAATACAATAATTTATAAAGAATACTTCTATGATCAGAAAAATAAGGCAATAGCCTTTGTATCAAATCCTTTACAAAAGGAGTTTAGCAATATTATGTTTAGTTCTGGGTTCAGTTTTGGTTTTGAATGTTACTTTTTTTTCTTTTTCTTCTCATCTGCTTCCATTTTAAGCTTAACTTCTTCAGCTGTAAGAGCTCCCAATTTCTTATTTTTGGCTTTCTTAACTTTTTCCTTGATGGCAGCCACATCAATTTTAGTTTCAGTAGGAGCTAGACAAATTAAAGACAAGTAAATTACTTAGATGTTACCAAATATCTGTATGCATTCAAGATGATTTCAGAGGCTAACTAGAAGCTAATGTTATAAAATACTTTTAGGAAGAGTTAAAATTTCTTCAAACTGAGAGGTAATAAGTTGTATTTTAAATATGCATCAGAGAAATTAGCAATTTTAGCAAGCCCTGGATTCAACTACATCCTTAAGATATTAGACTATTTTTACTTAGGGGAGCAATCCAGAATTTCAAAATATGGAAACTACTACATACCCTCCTCCCAGCATTTTGGCTGATTATGTAGCTACAGGTCAATACCACCCAGAAAAACGTAAAATTACAGTTTTCTAAACAAGTTTTTGAAAATCCTCCTGAAAGAACCAACATCTATTCAATGCTGGAAGGATGTGTAAAACAGAAAGGCAGGACAAGGGGGGGAAAGGACACTCTCCCCTAGCATTTATTCAGAGTATTGAAGACCTCAAGATCAAACCTCATCAGACGAACCACAGAGCAACGGGAGGGAAGCAGGTACTATACTCTTAATCACCGTAAAAACAGCCCCTTACTAACACCTTCCTGCCGTTACATTGTCTGTGTCCTTCACTGCTAGGGGAGGAGTTATTTGCATCAACAATATACTAACAAAGCTTATAAGCTTATGCCACAGACTACATAACAAAAGTCCAGCCTTTCCGAGGCCCTGTAACACAGCTCAGGGATCTCACTGCCTCAGGTTTACACCTGTACAATCCAGAGTGGTTCCAAGCCCGGGTCAGAAGCTTGGGGAAGACCATCACCTGGGACAAGTAGACCACCTCAGTCTTTTTTTTTTGTCCCTAGGATTAGTAATGAATGAAAGGCTAAGAAGCCTAATGCTTTCTTAGCACTCCCGAGGTTCAGACCAAGTCCCTATGGCTTTGACTTTTACAGCCTGTCAGCAGCTAAAAGGCAAACATTACCTTCCTTAGGTTTCACAACTGGCTTTTCTTTTGGTGGAATGAAAGCTTTATTTCTTTCTTCTTGTCTCTTACTGAGAGCTTCTGCCTGTTTAGCCTACATTAAGACAAAAGCAAACTATTAAAATATAATTTTTAGTTTAATAACTGAAGATCCTATAAACTATGCCATTAATGTTGTAAAATTAAGACAGCCTTACCTTTATTGCTTCCATTTTCTGTCGTTTCTTCTGACTTGCCTTCAGAAAGTATTCGCCACTAGCCAGTTCCTTATCAATCTGTTGAGGATAGTACATACACTTGTGTCAGAAAACATGTAGACAAGGGATCATGTGCTAATATAGTTAACATTCTTGGGATAATTAATGAAACCAGTAACAAAAATAACGAACTGCACTGAACATCCAGGGAAGTACATATGTAAAAGAATATAAGCACGCTGTGTGGCATACAAAAGCCGATAGTGTAGGGGAGATGAGAGGGGTTTCAGCAGAGAGGCAGCTGGCATGATCCGTTTTGGGGAAGCCGGAAGGAGCCCGAGGACCAGGAAGAGGAGGCAGGATGTGCCTTTCGAAGGACCGCAAGTCTCCAGGAGGAAGGTTCATCAGGTACAGAGCACTGCAGAACTCGAGGTAACAGCTTAGAACCAAGGCCGTGAACGCAATGCAGAATGAAAATCAAGCAGTGTCAGGATTTAATGAGTACTTCTCTATACGAGAGGCCTCTATGACAGGCTATGAAAATGTAATCTGTAACTATGTTTCCTTCCTACCTCCCTGTCCAAAACTGACTCCATCATTTCCCCCTTGATGTTCCTGTAAATTCCCTTCAAATTTCCCTTGAAAAACTCCAATCACAGGGCTGCAGGAAAGAAGGAAATGGAAACACAGAAAGGGGGTGAGTTGGACAAACACAAAAATTAGAGCAGGAAGACAGAGGATGGAGCAAGACCCTTTAGGAGACAGATGAGGCCCAAGAACAAATAGAAAAGGGTGAAACAGGAAAGTCACCAGTGAGAAGAACTAGAACACTTTTCATGTGATGGTCTCAATTATTTCAGTGCAGTATAATGCAATGCCACCTGCCAAGAACAGGTAAGAACTGAGAAAAAATTTTTTAGTTAACCTAAAGATTTTTCTTCTCTAGTTTGGTAGCCACATTCTGGAAAAGTCACATTTTGTTACAGATCCAAGTTTAACAGTTTTCTCTACAAGGAATAAAGGAAAGAAGCACCTGCCTGGAAAAAAATAACACATAAGAAAGAAACCTTGCCTATGGTAGGAAAGGAAATGAAACAAAGCTGATAGACACATGATGATACAACGCACTGCCATGGTACAGAGTCACCAAAATGTTGCTAAGTAGAGACCACTGTGGGCTAAGTCACTGAATTATTTATAGTGCCTATAAGGACACCTTGATGGCTTAGAATGCGTCTTAACTGAAAATGTCCAAGACTTCCCATAGGCCTATACAAAGTTACCTTCAGGCTCCCCACCTCAAGTGTGCTAAGTTTCTGCCAAAACAGGATGAAAGTTTCGGTACTAACCTGACTTTCTGGCTGCGGTGGTGGGAATGGCGTATATTCTTTCTTAATAGTTTTCTTCTTTGGCTCCTTGCGTTTATTCACGTTTTTGTGTTTAAACTGTGGCAAAAATCTTTCCCAACTTTGTGTTCGCAATTCAGAATCTTTTGCCAGCTCTCGTTTAATCATTAAGGTCTTCAATCACACAAATAAAATTAAAAATTATAAATCATTTGTCACATCATACATTTGTAAAGCTAATAAAGTATAAGTAGAAAGCAACAGCTCCTTGTCTCTTTAGTGGAAGCCAGTTTCACAATGAAGATATGTAACATCTCAATTATAATAAAGCATCAGAAAACCATTAAAAATAAAGCAAAGCAGCACCACGGGGTAGCACTGTGACCTGATGGGGTGAGCTGCCTGGAGCCTGACATCTCGCGGCCACCTGGGGAGTAACGCAGATAATCCCTCCTCCTCCCTTCACTTTGTAACTACCTTTCAACTAAAGAAAACTTGAGTTAGTCTCATTTTTCTCTCCATTTAAGATTTAAGAAATAATGATTGAAAATTTAACAGCAGGGAACATTCTATATTAGTTCACCCACATAAGTGGCAAGCTTTCAATAATGGAGAAAAAACAGGACTAGACAAAAATCAGTGTTTTCAGATTTTCCCTGTTCCACTTGACATTTACAAACACTGGAACACCGAAGGATGCAGCTCTGGTCAGATACACAACTAGTTTCCTTCCACTGGCAACAACATCAGTCTTACTCTAACCTTCTCAATTAGACCGCTCAACAAACACCCACAATAAAATGACTCTTTATACCATGATACATACCTAGGTAAAACGACAAACTTGGTACATACACAATTTAACAGATACCTCTCAAAAGGAATATAATTTGGATACTAAGTTCCAAAAAAGGTTTTAGACTTCAGTTAGCAGGAAACAGAAAACTTGAAAGACTACATTTTAAATATTACTCATAATTTAAGACTATTGACTGCATTGCAGACAACAAACTCTGAAGTTTATTTCATTTTATCAGAACCATTTAATACCTTGCAGTATTCCCTTCAATGGCTCTTATACTATTCTCCGCAGAAACTTATGCTTTTAAAGAAACAGTGTTAGGACTGGGCTAGAGCTGAATGGACTGAATCCTATCACTAGTAATCACATATAATCAATACTTACTTTAATATTATATATTGGATGAATATTCTTCATAGTATCTAGGACTACTTTTCGAACCTGAAATTTGCAAAGAAAAGTAAATTAGATGCTTACCTATGCCTTAATGAACTGGGCTGATGATCACGACGCTGTAAAGTATCATTAATTGGGGACTGGCTATCGAGTTAATGGAGCTACTCCATTAACTGCCAAGTGGCTTTTGGCTCTTTGCTGATACAAACTTTGTTGAATACAATGAGGTTTCCTAGTGACTGCCAAAACTGGAAGACTGAATTAGTAACAGCAACACTCTGAAACTGTGACTTAGAGGGAAGACAGTTAAATTTAGACTCAAAAAGTGAAGGCTCAAATACTTCCATTAATACACATAAAGGAAAGGCATTTAATTTTTCTTCCTACTTTTACAATAGACGCATATACCCTCAAGAGACTACTGTAACAATTATAAAGTAGTCAACTTGTTTATTATTGCTCCATGAAAAAAGGGCAGTTTATTAGAAAAAGCCCTGGAAAGTCAGTAAAATTACACCGTCATAATCACAACAGAAGCAACAAAAGTTAAACGACATCTGTCTCGCATGTTTTCACACAACTTTTAAAATATTCATGAAAACATTAGATTAAAATTGAAACAGAAAACAGTTTGAGAGGAAAGGTTTTCAGGGTTGATTTTGTTATAGAGCATATTGTAAATAGTGAGACATGAACACACAACTCCACTATGTTTCTCATGTGTCACAGACTAAGCTTTAAACGCCCACTTCAACCCTGGGAGCGGGAGGCATGAGAATGTAAAGACCGAAATCAGAAAGAGAGCTCTCTGCTGTCATGAGAAGTCAGCTGTAACGTGTTAAGGTCCGGAGTGGTGGTTCCCTGTGCAAAGTATATGCTAAATGGGAAACCAAGGTACAGTCTAAGAAATACTCATGAAGCAATACAGTATTAAATGCACTATGATAACCAAATTAGTTTTTAACTTGTTCTTTACTGCAAATTGAAAAAAAAAAAACAAAACACAGTTCTTACCTCTTTTAAACCACTAAAAGGTCCAATAGCTGAAACCGTATTTCCTTGAACCATAATGTAACAGTTTGTTAAGAGTTCCAGCGCCTATATTGAAAGAGCAGTACACTGAAATTTAGTACACTGAAAAAAATGGCAGCAAGAAATTCAACTTTTCCACTAAAAAAAAAAAATGTACCTTTAATGTAGATCCTTTGGGACCAATAAGTCGCTGTCGTCTTTTTACAAATCTCTCCTTATTTCTTACTAAAGAACCAATTTTAATAATGTCACATGCAACATCATCCTGAAGAATTCGTACTGCCTTTTGGAAAAATAAAAATACTTCATCAATATTTTAAATTTACATTTACCCTAAGTATATGCTAATGATATCAACACAAACTTGAAAACTTGCTGATGAAAGGGATTAAAGAGAATTCTATAGGTTGTCTAATGTTGCTCAAAATAAAAGTCTCCATAGCTCTAGACTTACCTGTTCAAATGCAACACTCCTTGCTAACAGCTTTATTAGGTCTCTGGCCCTGATGATGATGTAGGGATCAAAAGTCTTCTTGGTAGTGCAGACAGTCATGCTGCCCTCGATCAGGTCCAGCGTTGCTTTAACATGCTACAGAGAGAAAGCAAACAAAAACCTGTTCAAAAAATTCAGTCTTGGTCGTACACTCTCCTATCCAAGCTATTTCTGTGCCATGAAGCCATCTCTTCAATTCTATCAGCTCCTCAAAGAAGCCGAGTTCATGTAAATACTGAACATTTGATATGGCCTTCATAGCTCACAAAGCAAAGTGGAGCAAGTTCACACCATTTACATGGATACTTCAGACACTGAGGGCCAGCCTTGCAGCACAGTGGGCGCAGCCACCTGTGACAGAATCCCATCTGTCGGTTCAGGTCCAGGCTGCTCCATTTCCAATACAGCTGCTTACTGATGCCCCTGCAGAGGCGGCAGATACAGCCACATACGTGGGCCTCTGCCACACATGTGGCAGTTCCTGGCTCCTGCCTGGTCCAGACCCAGAATTGTGGCCATTCAGGCAGTTAACCAGTAAACGGAAGACTGCTTCCTCAGTCACTTTGCCTTTCAAATAAAAGAATAAGTTTACTTTAAAAAATTGTATGAAGTGAAAATTAAAAGTTTAATGAAAACAAGATTCTAAATCCATATTTAACTTTTTCCTAATACACACATTCATTAACTATTTAAAATCTTTCATATACTTGATATTAGAATACTTTGTATTTACTGCAATAAATGTTATCCACAGTTTAAAAAGCACACCTAGTCCCACGGAGGCATACTTAGGGCCTAAAGATAAATGCAAAGCCGTACAGCTTCTCTGTCCTACAGTCAGCTCCAGTGTACACCCCATTATTCAAGACTGGCTTTCCCTTTCAACTTTTTCTAGCAGTATTGGGGACTAAATACAAAGCAAAAACAAATTCTTCCTTGTTTAGAAACTGACAATAATCAACAGTTTTCAACAAACCAAATAAAAATACTATTTCTGACTCATGAGGATTATCTCCATGTATTTCAAAAGTGAGTGATAAATGAATGATACAATATAAGACTAGGTCACTAAAGATTGTAAGGGAAGGGACCGGCACAATTGTGTAGTAGTTAAAGCCCTCTCCTTGAATCTGCCAGGATCCCATATGGGCGCCGGTTCTAATGTTGGCAGCTCCACTTCCCATCCAGCTCCCTGCTTGTGGCCTGGGAAAGCAGTCGAGGTTGGCCCAAAGTTTTGGGACCCTGCACCCGCTTGAGAAACCTGGAAGAGCTCCTGATTCCGGACTGGCTCAGCTCCAGCCACTGCAGCCACTTGGGGAGTGAATTATCGGACAGAAGATCTTTCCTCTTTCTGTCCTCCTCTCTGTATAGCTGCCTTTCCAATTAAAAAAAAAAAAAAAAAAAGATTGTAAGGGAAACCAACCTATCCCAGGGGTGCACATCTGTTATAATACAACCTTACTGAGCCAAATGGCATGACCAGCTCCAGAACAGTCAGTCCTACCTGTGAGAAATACTGTATTCCACACCTAGTACACATGCAGATATACACACAACACAAATTAAACCAGAAGCTTCATCTTACCCTTCTCACACGTCATATAATCTTGTTTAAAAGGCTCATTACAGCCACTGAATTCACTTCTTAATCCACTGATCGTTAACAGAAATACACTGCTCAAGGGTCACTGGAGTAGCTAAAAACAGATGTTGTTTTTATGTGATGTTTCATTTAAAATGAAAGTTAAGCAGGGAGGGTGTGTTTGGGATGCAAAACGCGGCTTCTCAGTTCCAGCTACTCTGCTTCTATTCAGTTTCCTGCTAACATGCCTGGGAAGCTGGCGGATGATGGCCCAATTATTTGGGTCCCTGCTCATAACATGGGAGACTCAGGGTTTCTGGCTCCCAGCCTGGACCTGGTCCAACCCTTCCTGTTGGCACTCGGAGAGTGAACCAACAGATGGAAGATCTTTCTCTCCTCCACGCTATCAATCTCTCTGATACTCGTCCAAGTAAAGAAGTCTTCTTAGAAAATGACATTTCAATAATTCACAAGGCTTAACTAAAAAGATAACATGGCAGCTACTATGGCTGAGAGAAGGCATTCCAAAGTTTGGAATCACAGGTAAGTTTTGGATACTCCACAGTAACCTTAAAGGCATTAAAGGGACAAATATTTTTCATCTTTTTAAAAAAACTAGCTTAACAACAACCAAGACCTACAAAGAAAAGCTTAATGGAGTCAGTTCATTGGCTTCACTGGCTAATCCTCCACTGCCAAGCATCATGATCTCATGTGGGTGCTGATTCATGTCCCAGCTGCTCCACCTCCCACCCAGCTCCCTGCTTGTGGCAGCAGAGGACAGCACAAAGCCTTGGGACCCTGCACCCAGGAGAGAGACCTGGAAGAAGCTCCTGGCTCTTGGCTTCGGATCAGATCAGCTCCGGACACTGCAGTCATTTTGGGAGTGAACGAGCACATGGAAAATCTTTCTCTCTGTAAATCTGCCTTTCCAATGAAGCTTGCTGAAACTGTTGAAAACACCAAAGGAGGATTGGGTACCTGGTCCAGTTAAGTAGCTGGTTAAGATGCCAGCATTCCATTTCCGTGCCTAGGCTTAAACTAGGATCTGCCACGGGCCCCAGCTTCCTAAGGCCCCATCATGATCATCTTCAGCCTCGGGAAGCAGCAGGTGTGGGAGAGCCTTGATTAAGTTCACGGTTTCTGCCTGGCTCTGCATCAACTGCTACAGACATTCAGGGACTGACGAGGGGACGGGGACGCTCTCTCTTCTCAAAACATAATTAAAAAAAAAAAAAAGGGACACAATTAACTAGGTGCTAAAAAAGTACCTTAAAAAGTCCACCTGCATACAAACTTACTTAAAAGCAAAGGCATTAAGAGCAAACTATCAAAAAAAAAAAATAGTATAAAACTGGCGTACATGCTCATTTAAGGCTTTCTGCACCAAAGGCCAACATTCTTTCAAGTAAGCCTCCCTGTACTTGGGGAACAAAGTGGCAAAGCTGCTCTCCTCCAGGAGTCCTCTGGGGTTGTCCTCTTTGGAGAAAGCTGGTTCCTTCCAACCCTCAGGAACAGTGAGGAGCTCGGAGTCATCTGCGAAAGACAAAGCATGGACACATGGCTGTTTAGCTAGCTTGGCTGACACCACAAAATCCCAAACTTTCCTTCCACTTTTCCCGTCACTCAAAAGCCAAAGGGCATGCCCCATCATGATCATCAACACAATGTGTTAAAATCATATATATACATTTCAGTTGCAACATAAGATAAAGTTCTTTAGGGAAGCAACTTCTATTTTATATCCATATTTGTTGGCATGTGCCTGGCAAACACTAAGCACCCAATAAACTTCTCTGGCACTACACTGTCAGGGTTGAAGATCAATTACCTTTGTGTTACAATGCTATCCTGTTTCAAAAAAAAAAAAAAAGTAACCTGGGCCCAGGGCAGTAGTCTAGCCGTTAAAAGTCCTCACCTTGCATGTGCTGGGATCCCTGACAAGCCTGCTTCCCATCGAGGTCCCTGCTTGTGGCCTGGGAATGCAGTTGAGGATAGCCAAAAGCCTTGGTACCCTGCACCCACGCTGGAGACCCAGAAGAAGCTCCTAGCTCCTGGTTTCAGAGCAGTGCAGCTCCAGTCATTGCGGCCACTTGGGGAGTGAACCAGCAGATGGAAGATCTTCCTCTCTGTCTCTCCTCCTCTCTCTATATCTGACTTTCCAATAAAATAAATATTGAAATAACATTTGACTTCCTATAGTAAAATCACTGCAGCCATCTGGGGACTAAAGCAGGATGGAAGGTTTTCTGTTTCTCCTCTATGATTCTGCCTTTCAAACAAAAAATAAATACAAATTTAAAAAAAGAAAAAAGAGTCCCACATGTTGGCACTGTGGTTAAGCTACTGTCTGCAACACCACATCCACATGAGCACCAGTTTGAGTCCGGGATGCTCCGCTTACAACTCAGCTCCTTGCTATAGTGTGCTTGGGAAAGCAACAGAAAACAGTCCAAGGACCTGGGTTCCTGCCATCCACATGGGAGAGCCACAGGAAGCCTCTAGCTTCAGGCTGGCCGAGCTCTGGCCATTTGGGGAATGAGCCAGCAGATGGAAGATTTGTCTTTGTCACTCTTTCAAATAAGTCCTTAAAAAAAAGTCTAAAAGTTGATTCTGTGTGTGCTCATACTTTCAGTCAAAAATCACAACTATGGGATTTCAGGTTTTCCAAAGAGCCTTCTGTGCCTTATGTCTACATGCCTTTATTTCATGTATAAAGAAAGAGCCATTATTATTATTATTATTATTATTATTATTATTATTATCATTCTCATTTGACAGGATTAGGCATTGTATACAAAGAGGGCAAGTGACTTGCCTGAGGTGACGCAAAGCTCAAAGCCCACAACTCTTTCCACTAAAAAGAAATACTTATCGATTACACATTATCTCCTGAATCACTTTTTAAAACTTCCAGCCCCACTTTAAGAACCCATAATACTCGGCCCGGCGTGGTGGCGCAGTGGTTAAGGTCCTCGCCTTGCACGCCTGGGATCCCATGTGGGCGCCGGTTCTAATCCCGGCGGCCCCTCTTCCCTTCTAGCTCCCTGCTTGTGGCCCGGGAAGGCAGTCGAGGAAGGCCCAAAGCTTTGGGACCCTGCACCCGCGTGGGAGACCCGGAAGAGGCTCCTGGCTTTGGATCGGCATAGCATCGACCGTTGTGCTCACTTGGGGAGTGAATCATCGGACGGAAGATCTTCCTCTCTGTCTCTCCTCTCTGTATATCTGCCTTTCCAATAAAAATAAATAAATCTTAAAAAAAAAAAAAGAACCCATAATACTCAACTATTTCAGATTTAATTCTACCCAAAGGTATGAGATAAACCTGCACTAACAGGATAAACTGAAGTTTGTTAGAAATGAAATTCTTGGACCTAGCAGAGCAAGTACTTGGCATAGCAAGTAAAGCCACCTGCAATGCCAGCATCCCATGCTGGTTCTAGTTCATATCCCAGTTGCTCTATTTCTGATCCCGTTCACTACTAATGCCCTGGGAGAAGCAGTAAAGGATGGCCCAAGTGCTTGGGCTTCTGTCACTCACGTGGGAGAACTGGATGAAGCTCCAGATTCAGCCCAGTTCAGCCACGGTAGGCCTAGCTCAGCCCAGCCCGGCCCTTTGTGGCAATCTAGGGTGTGAACAAGTGAATGAAAATGATTTGTCTCTTCCTCTCCCTGTCTTCCTAAATAAATAAATAAATGGAGGGGAGATCTCTGGTATGACAGGAATCTACTTTTAAACATTTTTTATAGATTTACTTTTATTGGAAATGTAGATTTTATATATATATATGTGTGTGTGTGTATATATATATATATATATATGCAGAGAGAGAGACAGAGAGAGAGAGAGAGAGAGAGAGAGAGAGAGAGAGAGAGGGAAAGAGCGCTATTCACTCCCCAGGAGGCTGCAATGGCCAGCGCTGAGCTTTCCCAAACCAGAAGCCAGAAACTTCTTCCAGGTCTCTCTCCTGGGTGCAGGGTCCCAAGGCTTTGGCCTGTCCTCTACTGCTTTCCCAGGCCACAAGCAGGGAGCTGGATGGGAAGTGGAGCAGCCCAGATTCAAACCAGAGCTATGTGGGATCTTGGCAGGATTTAGCCACTAAGCTATCATGTTGGGCATATTGCTTTCTGTTTCTTATGCATATATCCACTTAGCTATTTCAGGTTCAAACAGCGTATTAGCCAACTTTTTCCTTAAGCAAAAAAAAAAAAAAGGAAATATTTACTTTTATTGGAAAGTCAGATTTACAGAAAGGAAGAGATACAGAAGAAGATCTACCATCTGCTGGTTACTCCCCAAGTGGCTGCAATGGCCAGAGCTAAGCCCATTCAAACCCAGGAGCTAGGAGCTTCTTCCGGGTCTCCCACACGGGTGCAGGGACCCAAGGCTTTGGGCTGTCCTCGACTGCTTTCCCAGGCCACAAACAGCTGTATGGAATGTGGAACAGCTGGGACTCAAAATGGAACCCATAAGGTGAGGACTTTTGTCACCAGGTTATCTTGCCAGGCCTGTTATCCAACCTTTATTCTTTAAAAAACCTCAAACTCAACTATAGTTACTTAAATTGCAAATGTGGCCGTTACTATCCAATTTAAACATCTGAATGGCTTTGAATGCTATTTACTATGCCTTTTCCTATGCAGTTCCAACAAATACTGATTTATGCATTATATTTTCCCAGGGAGAGAATGGGGAAGGACACTCAGTACTTGTTATAAGATGATCAGAAAATGGGCAAGGTAATTGGGAAAGGTTCTGATGGAGGAGCATGGGAAACTCCTCAAGCAGGCCAGACCAGGCCAGGGAACAGTACCCAGCAGCATACATTTGGCACAGGTTGGGAGTGAACCAGGCAGAGTCAGTTCACATCACCTGGCAAATCTGAGGACCAGAATGGAATGTGGGTTGGGACGGGCTCAGTCTCAACACATGCCAGTACACAGTACTGCTGGGACTGGGTACCAGCTGGGCTGGGCTGGGCTGTAGCCCCTACCAGCATGAGCTGAAATTGGGGATAGGCCAGGTTGGGCCAGGCCAGGCTACAGAATCACTGGCAAATGCCCAGGTGAGGCAGGCCATGCCAGAGCGGGCCGAGGCACCCAATCAGCACACATGAGACCCAAGGGAGTAGGGGAAAAGCTGGTACGGGGGCTGTATGGTGCTCCCCTGCTAGATCACCACTCCCAATGGAGCTTGAGTTGGGATGGGGGCAGACCAAACTGGGCAGAGCTACAACACCTGTTGGTCTCATGTGAGCTGGATCAGGAAAGAGCCAGGCTGGGCTGACTATTCCTACTGGTGCATGCATAAGTCAGAGTGGGTGTGGGTTGGTTGGGCTCTGCTGCAGCATCAGCTGGTATAGGCTGGCACTGGAGGAGGGGGCTAATTCTGTCAAGTTAAACTGCAGAACCACCTGGAGAGTACTTGATACAGGAGTGGGAGTGGGCTCAGTAGGGAAATAGTGGGCACCTGCCTCTTGGGTTACCACTCCCACTGGAGAGCATGAAAACCAGGACTGGGGCAGACGTGGCTGGACAGAATGGCACCCACCAACATGTGTGTGGGCTGGATAGTGGGGCTGGTTGGGTTGAACTAGGCTTCAGTGCCCAATGACATGTATGAGAGCTCAACGGGATGTGGAAGAGGCTGGACCAGTCTGCTGTATATACTGGCAAGCATGGTAACCAAGGCAGGGGGCAGGTCTGGTGGGGGTTATTGCAGGTCACTCTGACTAGGCTGTGGCTCCCACTGGTTTGCGTGAGGCCCGAGTGTATGGTGGGCAGGATCAGGCTGGGCTGCAATACCCATTGGTTTGTGCAGAAGACAGGGCTGGAAACAGAACTGACCCAGCAATTGAAACGACCAGCACGTGCATAAGCTGACTGGCACCACAGATTGTGCCTGACTCTGTATTGGCAAGCACATGCAAGAATCAGGTCTGGGATCACCTCAGATGAAGCTTCTTTGGGGATCCCCCCAACTTAACCACTGGACTCAGAACTCCAACCATGAACAGAATTGCAGATTCTATGGTCTGACCATGGAGTGTATGTGTCAAAACTCAACTTCCTCAGTGGCTCAGACAAAACAGTGGATATCTGGTACCACAACAGAGGAGAGAACAAATTGATCAACTGCCCCAGCCAAGTGTTGACAGTGAAAATCTGGGCAAATGGAGACTCTAACATGGACTATATCAGCCAATGAATTCTGAAGAGATTTCATTGTGCTTGGAATGGTTTGATTGGCAGCAATTCAGAACTGTTGAACTATCGAAACCACCTGAGCAGTGCCCTTAGAGCATGCCCCACATCGGGGACCTTGAGATGGTTGGGAGGGTAGCTGTGGCTTCTCCCCTTCTCCTCTTCCCCCAGATACAGGAAGGAAAAAAGATAATGTGGAAACAATGATCTTTTCCACTTTCCTATAGCCCTTGACCCTCTGCGCCCTAATCAACTATGTAAAGATCATCAAAACAGTAAGAAAATAATAATAAAATTTTTATAAGGGGCAAGGCAGTAAGGAGCAGAACAAAAATCAGCCTTCCAATACACAGGCCCCAGTGCTGGGCTCACTGCGGCCCACGGGGATCAGTCACCTGCAGTTCAGGAATGAGCAGGCAACCTCCACAGGACAAGTTCCCTACCCTCCCCCTTCTGCATAAATTCAAGATTTCAAGCAAAGCTTTGGCTTCGAGCTGTAAACAAGGAGTTACATTTGTCTATCAAACAATTAAAAAACCTCGATATGTTTCTGGCACCTGCATAAAATTTCCTGAGTGCTTTGGAAACATTCAGTTCCATTCTTGGTCTGCAAACCCCACCTTCTACACAGAAGGTCCCCAGTAGCTTCTCCTTAAGACATAAATTATGTAAATTTGATCCATCCAAATACCCTAGCATCTGAAACTGTCATGAATCACTTCAAGAAACAGTCTTCACTCAGGAGGCTGGGAATGATAGACAGAGGTTTCATATTTTCTTCAGGAGTTTTGCATGAATCCTTCAGAGGTGTGGAAATGTCCCAGAATTAAACGCGTCTGTGTGGGTGTGTAGCTTTCCTCTGGTGGATGGGGGATTGAAGAGAGTAGGGCAGCAGTCAAATTACAAGAATAGAAGATTCAACATAGTATAGGGGTGGGGAACACAGAAGAAAACAGTGTAGGGGTGCCCCAAGCTTATGGTTTAAATCTTTTTTTTTTGCTTGGTGCAAAATGTCTATCAAAATGATCTGGCTAATTTTCTCTCAATACAATCACCAACTGAGACTCCGTGAGGTCCCACAAAGCCCAAACTGAATAATTAAAGGGGGGCAGCCTGTGGGGGAGACAAGAACCCAGGACCAAACACACACCACCCCAAGCATTCTACTGCATGTGTCCCGTTTCGTTTCAACACAAGGGGGCAGTCTGCAGAGATCTCAGTGCAAAGGAAACAGTCCTTTCTTCAGATACCACGAAACTAATAGCCACTGCTGTCCCAGGGCAGGACATGGGCTCTGGACTCCACACAGGCCCTCCTTTAGGACTCCGTAGAAGCCAAGAATCTGCAAAGGTTAAGGATTTTTAGTCCTTTCTACTTCTACCCCTGGACGCCACAGAATGGGGCAGAGGACTGGTTTTCAAACTCATCCTTTCTTGCTCACATTGTTTACACGCACAGATTAGGTAAAGGATGGATTTGGTGCATGAAGCAGCCCTAACCACAGCTGGCTCTCTGGCCCTTTCACCTGACTTGGCCTCTCTGCCATTCATACCACCTTTTCCAGTTCGGGTTAATTTGCAATCTTCCAAAAGGTCAACTCATAGGAAACCCAATTAACACTTCATGAAGTGTTCATGTTCAAGGTGGAGGGGGTTTCAAGAGCGCTCTATGGCAAAAAAGTCAGCTCTAATCGATACAGAGAGATAGTGCAACAGGCTGTGCACTCCACATAGTTAATCTCCATGACGATAAACAACATATTCCTGCTATCTAGACATGAAGTTACTGATGACTTCTCCCTAAGACTGCCCATGTACCTGGGAACATGGCGCAGAACCGAAGACCTCAGATTAAAAATACACAAAAATAAAAAGCCAGGATATATTAAGAAAAACAGTCAAATGTACAAGATGCCAGTGTGCTGGCTTATCAGGCTGGTTCTTAGCCTACAGCACTGGCACCCTATACAAGCATTGATTCAATTTCAGGGTGCTCTGCTTCCCATCCAGCTCCCTGCCTGTGGCCTGGGAAGCAGCAGAGGATTCCCTAAGTCCTTAGGACCCTGCACCCATGTGGGAGGCCCGAAAGAAGCTCCGAGCTTCAGATCCGCTTAGCTCCAGCTGTTGTGGCCATTTGAGGAATCAATCAGCGGATGGAAGATCTCTCTATTTTACCTTCTAAGTCGGCCTCTCGGATAAAAATAAGCATATCAAATAATTTAGAAAAAAAATGCACAATATAAATGGTGTGCAAGTGAGTGCAGTTGGCTTCCCGGAGAAAGTGGGACCTGAAGTGCAGGTACCCAGGGGAGCAAACACACCAATCACACTGGCCCAGAACAGGTGAGCCTGAGCTGAGCAGCAGGTCTGGGGCTGTTCCACTAACCAACCTTTCAGGTCATCACCACTCATCTCTGGGGATGTTTCCCATGACCCTGTTCCAAGCTTGAGTTATAAGGAAACAAGAGGTTGCCTTCTGGACCCAGCGCAGTAGCCTAGTAGCTAAAGTCCTTGCCTTGCACACACCAGGATCCCATGTGGGCATCAATTCATGTCCCAGCTGCTCCACTTTCCATCCAGCTCCCTGCTTGTGGTCTGGGAAAGCAGTAGAGGACAGGCCAAAGCCTTGGGACGCTGCACTAATGTGGGAGCCCCAGAAGCTCCTGGCTTCAGATAAGGTCAGCTCTGGATGTTTTGGTCACTTGAAGAGTGAACCAGCAGATAGAAGATCTTTCCATCTCTGCTCCTCTGTAAATTTGACTTTCCAAGCACACACAGGAAGTGGAACCCCAGCTGCTAGGTTCAAGCACTGATTGAACGGGCCCCAAGCAGCAGCTGAGGCTCCTCCGGGCAGGCCAAGCCCTAGGAAGTCTGGGTGGGAGCCGTGGTGCAGCTGCCTCTGCCAACTCCTGGCTGGTCACGGAGTCCGTGATTCTCCACAGAGCCTACAGCTCCGGACACCTAGCTGGGCAGCTGCTGGTCCCAGAGAAGGAGTCATTTATTTCTTCCGACAGGTATACATATCCTTTTCAATAAATAAATAAACAGGAGTTTCACAACAGAAAAAATACAAGCCCCCAATATATATAAAAGTAACTGCAAACTCATTAGTAATCAGAAAAAAATCAAAAGCTTTTTTTAAAAAAAGATTTAATTGCTTGCAAGGAATAATGGCAGAGAGAGACAGCACCCAATCTTCCAACTGCTGGTTCAGGCTCCAAGCGGGCGCACTGGTCAGGGCGGGGCCAGGCCAAAGCCAGGAGCCTGACCCTCCACCCAGGGATGGAGAGACCCTAATTACTTGCACGCCTGGGATCTCCTGCTGCTTTCCCAGGTGAACAAGGTGCTGGATTAGAATCCCTGCTCTGATACGCAATGCCTGAGTCCCAGCCAGCAGCTTAACCTGTTGCACCACAACACAAGCCTCAGAAAGCGCAAAATCACAACCAGATACCACTTCACACCTACCAAGAGGACTGACATTCAAACTGAAGATATGTAACACCTAATGTCAGAGTGGCCTGAGAGCCCTGGGCATTGTCACCCAGTGCTGGTGGACACCCCCAGAGGCACAAAACCTTTAGCGGAATCTGCATTCTCACACATACCCGACACTTCAGTGGTCCACACCATGTTTCTAGTCCAGAGAAATCTTTATGTAAATCAGATAACACACACAACGATGTTCTATGTTCGTAGCAGCACCGTGTAAAACAGCAAGCAGTGGGGACAACCTGAGCGCCCAGCCACGGCAGAATGAACACCAAGTCGAGATCTATTTGTGCAACACAATGACACACCGTGGAAAAGTACAGAACCCCGCACTACAGGAATCACCCTGAATGAGCAACAAAGCTGAGCTCAAGAAGCAGGACAGGGAAATGCAGACGGCCCTTTCCCAGTCATTAAGAGAGAGAGAGACTGAGAATTCAGACTTTGGAGAAAGGAAACATTCAATAGGTTTCAGAATGGCTATTTCACGGACCAGAAAGAAAGTGGCATGGGAGGCACAGAGGGCTTTGGGCGTATGACAACACAATTACTGAACAGAAGAGTGGGACTCCCCGACTTCACTGCCTGCACTCCCTGCTGGGGCTGTTAACCATGAATTTTCAAAAAGCAACAATAACAAAAACCTGTTAGTAAACCCCTGAGTACCTTCCCATGCGTCTAGATTGGGAGTTGAAGGTTTTCAATTTCGAAGATTTGGTTGAACGATTCCTGGGATCTAGCCTCTCTTCCTCTCACCGACAGGGAAGAAAACGCGTAAAACTACCACGCCAGAGACTAATGAGACAGGCGGCCCGGGCCCTGGCAGCGGCGCCCTAACACGCAGCCTTCCTGCAGCATGGATGCTCCAGTGTCCGAGCAGCCAGGGTCTCCTGCCCCGTGAGCCTCCGGTTACCACGGCCACCTGCTCGGCATCCTCGCCCCTGAACGAGCAGCCGCCGCGCCCTCTCGCCCCGACGGGACCAGGCATTCCTCGGGGACCTTCAGCCAAAGTCACCAGTGACTAACAGGCGGCGGGCGCGACACCTGCCATCTTTCCTGCCGCCCCGTCCCACATCCCGCATCAGCAGCAATTCCACTCAGAAGCATACGGAAGAGCCAGCCGGCGGCCGTCAACAATCCAAAACCAGGAAACCACGTCCACAAACCCCAGGCTTCGTTCCATGCACAACCTCACCTCGGCTCTCCGGCTTCTGCTTCTGGTTACGAGGCTCACTTTTCCCGTCGGCGGCTGACGACCGGTTCGGTGACGAGGACGCCATTTTCACACTACTTCCGGGAGCGCCGGAAATGGAACCTCCTTAAAACCTGCCGGTTGAAATCTGCCCCTTTAAAATGAGTTCCGCGTAGCTCAGACCCGGAAGTCTGCGCAATCTCTTGGCGAACGACGGTAAACCCACCCACTTGTATAATGACGGCCTATGCAGCCAATAGAAAGCCGCAGACGCTGCGACTGCATTCTGGGAATTGCAGTTTACCAGCGGGGGGCATGCTTGGGACACTTAACGTTCAATTTGGAGTGAACCTGCCAGGCTCAGCCCCTTTGCTAAAGGTGCAGCTCCAGAATCAGGATCACGCACGCTGCTAGACAGCAGGTGATGGCTTAAGTGCTTCGGCTCCTGCCGGACCAGGATGGAGTTCTGATCCTGGTCCAACTCTAGCTGGTGCGAGCATTTAGGGAGTGAAACAATAGATGTGTGATCTCTGCCTTTCATGCAAACAAAAACATGAATAATAAAAGTTAAAATACAGCAAGAAGTATTCAGTAATTTGAAAATTGAAAATATTGATTATATACTGAATAAAAGTATATGCTATGTGGCACTTGATGAAAATACACAACAAAAATATCGCAAGATAGGAAGTTGTACTGGTAGCTATAGGAAGCAGCATGATGTATAATTAAATAAATGGGAAAAGCTACATAAATTTTACAGTGTGTTGTTTCTTTTAGATTTAAAATAGCTCTATGCTTAGACTGTTATTTCTGGAATTTTCATTTTATAGCCATAAGACACTTGTATTTCTATATACTTAACAAAATTAACGAATAAGCTGAATATCAATGTTTCAACGATTTGCTTGGATTATGCTTTATGCAATTTTGAAGGAAACACACAACTTGATACTTTGTAATGTTATGGAATAATAAATTCTGAAATTCATTCAACTAATCCTAAGAACTAAATGCAACCCCACTTTATATTTGCTTATGACGTTTCATATCCTCTAACCACCAGTCCTCATATTAGTGACTATATTCTGGTTTTCTTCCTTTGAAAAAAAAAAAAGATGTGTTCTAATTTTAACTTCTTCCAAAAAACTTTCAAGTTAAAACATTAATTTTAAGTAAATACTGAAAAGTCTCCTGGACTCACCTGTGAGGATCAAAAGCTCAAAAGTGGCTATCATCTTGCTGGTGCCTACATGCATTGTATAAATGTCACCCACATTTCAGTGGCAGGATGGGTGCTGTAACACAGTGGGTTAAGTTGACCCATGTGGAAGACCTGCCTAGAGGGCTTTTTTTCCCCTCCTACCCCATGCCCTGGAGTTTCTGATCCCCAGCTTTCAACTGGTCCAGTCCTGGTTGTTGTAGCCAATTGAGTAGGAGCCATCAGATGGAAAATCGGTCCTTCTCTGTCTTTCCCACTGTATATTTCTATCTTTCAAATAAACAAGCTAAAATTTAAAAATATAATGAATTTAAGTGACTCTGAATGCTCATAAAATGTTTAAAACAGCATTTTAAAATCCAAAGCATGGGCCGACGCAGTGTTTTAACAAGCTAGTGCTCCACCTGAGATGCTGGCATCCCATATGGATGTCAATTAGTGTCCCAGCTGCTCCGCTTGCAATCCAGCTCCCTGCTTATGACCTGGGAAACCAGAAGAGGAATGCCCAGGTCCTTGGGTCCCTGCACCCAAGAGGGACACTTAGAGAAAGCTCCTGGCTTTGGATTAGATCAGCTCTGGCCATTGCAACCATTTAGAAAGCAAACCAGCAGATGAAAGATCTCCCTGTCTCTCCTGCACTCTTTGTAAATCTGCCTTGCAAATAATAATAATAATAATAATAATAACAATAATAAATATTTTTAAAGTTCTAAAGCATTTGCAAGAAACAGTATATTACAAAAAATTGGCAAAAATACTTTCAACATATTTAAGGAATAATAGCAACAATATTGAAGGTGACAGAAAAAATTTTAAATGCTTCAGCAGATAATAGGGAAAAGATAATAATAATTTTGCATCAACTTGTCTGTGCTTAGTAGGCTAGATGTTTGTTCAAAGAGTAGTGTAATATTTCCTGAGGCTGTTTTTGGATAAATATACTATGAAAATTAATAAACTTTGAGCAAAACAGAATTGTTTCTTATAGCCAACAGACCTTATCCAGTTCATTTAAGACAGAATAATAATAATAATAAAAGCCCTATCACCTCCCCTGCCATAAGAATTGTGCTGCAAGTGTGTTAATCTGCAGCAGAGGCTCTGGGCCTCCAGGCTGCCATCCCACCTACAGACGGGGACTTGCTAGCTTTTATAAACATGTGAGCCAGTTCCTTTAAGTAAATAATTATATAATAAAGAAATATACCATCACTATGTGATATATAATAAACATATATACATATATACATATAATATGTGATGCTTGTACCACTGCTGTTGGAAAACATTACTTGACAATGGAATATCACCAGCCTCCAGACTAGCAAAACAGGAAGTAACACATTTTTTTCACACTGATAGTGCTGCCAGAGCGGAGAACATTCCCGTATGTGAGACGTAAAGCTTTAATGGGAAATAATTTAGTAATTAAGTTCTCTAAAATGCTGGTAATCTTATCTCAGTTAGTGAATAATTGATTTTAAAAAGCATTAAAAAAAACTTGGCTGTAAGTTAGCAGTAAGTGCTGTCCATCAGTTTTTAGTGCTAAATAAATAAATAAAAGCCTCTTGCCTAAGAATTTGAGATACAATTCAACTCCTGTTTTGTGATAACATGCTTGCAATTTACAAAGTTAATCCTCCACTAAATAAAGAATTCACCAAGTAGAAAGACCACTGTTCCCAGGAGTATAAGATCAGTGGCTCAGACAGAGCAGTACACCCAGGTGCACATGGAGGATATGGCAGTCCATTGAGCCTGCAGAGGACACCTGGTACCATAGCAGAAGAAGGAGGGCAGAGCAAATTGGACAACTCTCTCAGCCAAGCATTGGTATCAAATACCAGGGCAAACGGAGACACCAAGGCAGACTATGTCAACCAATGGGCCTCGGAGGGATTTCCTCATCTTTGGACCAACAAAATCAACAGCATTTCAGAACTAGTAAAACCACTTGAGCCAAACCCTCAGAACATGCTTCATATCGGGGACTGGGGGATGACACTGGGTGGCTGCTCCCCTTCTTTGGGTGCTCACGTATCTGGGAGGCTGGGTGCAGCTTTTCCCCTTTTCTCCCCACTTCCGTCAGATACAGGAAGAAGAAAATTGGAAACAATGGTCTCATGCACTTCCCCTATTCCTTGAGCCTTCCCACCCTAATCAGTGGTCCACATAGGCATGCATCCTTCTCAACTACGTAAACATCATCAAAAATAAAATAAAAGAGGTGGTGGTTTTACCAGATAGACCATAACCCCTGTTCTCAGATCCACATTTGCGTTGTCCAGGTATCAGCTGGTGGACATCTGTGTTGAAAATATCTTAACTATTGTGAATGGAGCTGCTACAAATGCTGGGATACATACAACTTTACCAGATGCTGACTTCAATTAATTCTGCTAATTTCTCAGTAGTGCAATGGCTGTGTCATATGATAAATCTATTTTCAGATTTCTGACAAATCTATTGGAAAGGCAGATATACAGAGAGAATGAGAGACAGAAAGAAAAATCATCTGTCTGCTGGTTCACTCCCCAAGTAGCCACAGTGGCCAGAACTAAGCCCATCTGAAACCAGGAGCCAGAAGCCAGGAGATTCCTCCAGGTCTCCCATGCGGGTGCAGGCCCACAAGGCTTGGGCCATCCTCTACTGCTTTCCCACACCACAAGCAGGTAGCTGGATGGAAAGTGAAACAGCTGGGACATGTAACATACACATATGGGATCCCAGTACACACAAGGCAGAGGATTTAGTCACTGAGCTGGGCCCTCATTTGGCATTTCTACTTTCATCCATTAATGATTAAAAATTACTTTTGTGGGCCTGGTACGATAGCCTAGCAGCTAAAGTCTTCACTTTGCAAGCGCTGGGATACCATATGAACACCGGTTCTAATCCCAACGGCCCTGCTTCCCATCCAGCTTCCTGTTTCTGGCCTGGGAAAGCAGTGAAGGACAGGCCAAGGCCTTGGCGCCCTGCATTCACGTGGGAAACTGGGAAGCGGCTCCTAGCTTTGGATCAGCACAGCTCTGGCCATTGCAGCCGCTTCGGGAATGAATCAACGAATGGAAGCTCTTCCTCTCCGTATATCTGACTTTCCATTAAAAAAAATTGATAAAATAAATCTTAAAAAAATTTTTAAGGATGACTTTTGCATAATACCTTTTATGGCTCATTTAAAAAAAAAACGCATCTAGCTAGGATTTCTCCAACACAAAATTGATATGTTTTTATTTTCTAACATACATAAGATACTTTTTGTTTCAGTCAGCTTTACAGAAATGTTTAAACCTTAAATCAACACATACCTGTCAGCACCACACAATTATACAACTTGTGGCTATGGAAACAAGGTCGCTTTGAACTCCAAGTGGCTGCATTAAGAAAACAGACCTGTGACAACAGGCAAGAAGGAAAAGGAACAACACCGTACCCCAGGTGTAAGCTAGCTATCTTCTACACCTGTCTTTAGAAATGAATATGTCAATAAAGGTGAAGATTTCTGGATGAGATCCTGGATGATGCGAATTCCAGGGGGAATCTGAACCACATTCTTGGCCAGCGTTGGAGTGCCTCCATCGGACAGTTGGACGTCCCCCGTGTCATTTCCACGATCACTGCTGTGTGCAGCCCGTTCCTCCCAGCCCCCACGCAGCAAGCTGTCTGGATGTGAGACATGGTACACTGTTTTGACTGCTAACCAGCAACTTCATCATGGGTAGGCACCTGGCCAACTTCAATCAACTTCCGGATCGCATGCTGAGGTAGGGGAGGGAGAGGAGACCTCACACCCAGTATATAATTTGGTAGGTCTAAGGCAGCATCTAAAAAAAATTTGCACCTGTCCAAAGATTTATCTAACCTAAAATGCCAAAGTACTGAGACTGAGAAATCCTAGTTTGCAAGCCT